AAAGTTTCAGGAAAAAAAATATATCTATTCAATGACTGCAGTAGGATATGTAACCCCAGCTAGGTGCTACTTTATAGGATGCGTAAAGTTAGACTTGTGCTCGTGGAAATGTGTGTGTCATCTGTGTTTGCTATGAGGGTATTTGGATTGATTAGGGTCTTTGGTGATTCAATAAAATGTGGGGGAAAACAGTATAGAAAGCAAACATAGATACCAGAGACAGTGTGGGAGGAGAGTGGGAGGTGGCAGAGGGTAAGAGATAGGGAATCAAGGATGGAGGGAAAAAAGCAAAACATACAGAAAACAAGAAATGGAAGATCATTTGCTGACAATAACATGTTTGTTGATGTGCTTGATTGAGACAATATACAGTATACTCTGGATGGAAAATCTCATGTTGTATGCTGTAATGATGTACAGTGAATGAATGCAAATAAATAAATTGAAAAATAAATAAATAAATAAAAATTAAAAAAATAATTTAAAAAAAAAGAGTTCCCACTTTGTAGCTGGCACCGTGTTTCATGGAAAAAAAAATTCCATGTGCCTTTTTCCCTCAGGTGTGTCCAAACAACCAAGAGAGGTGTTGAGGAACTCCAGGATTATGTAAATCCAGATTCTACATTTTCTCTGCTCACATGTGAGAGGGTAGTATTAAGAGTTATCCAACTCTCATTCCCCAACATGACAACCCACTTACCTGTGGGCTTTTGTAGAGCTCCAAAAGGGTTCCAACTTGGGCTGAAAATGTTGGCATGTTTCCTGCAATGATAACAACAGGTTGTTTCTGTGTCTGGCAGCATATGATTCCCTCCAGAGAGCAAAAACAGAGCATTTTCTAAAGTTCTTCTGTCACTAGGAAATGCATCATAGAAATTATAACCCAAGGAAGTGTTGGGTAGCAAATGGGGACTTTTATTGATCTCCTCAATGGCAAAGTAAGAGGCCAATACATATTGATAGTTCTTCCATGTGAACCTAAACAGAGGGGGCAGCATTAGAAAATTCAGTGAAGTCATGTGATTCAGGGCAAACTCTTCAGCCAAGCCACAAGATGTACAGTTTTAGGCCTAGGCTGCCATTCAGAGATTCCCCTGTACTGGTACATGGAGCTGGTATGAATGATGTTCCCAGGGCTCTAGAAAACCTTGAAATGTTTTTCTCTCTACATAAAGCAAATTGTTTCCAAACAATGAAGAGAGGTTTTAGGACCTCGTGAGTGAGATGAGAAATCATTTAGCTGCATGAAGACACTGTCATGTAAACAGAGGTAATTTTAAAGGAGGATCATTAATGCATGGGGAGGACAATTTTTTTTAAGGGTATCAATGAGGAGTGCTCACATTCACCATTTTTTATTCATTTTGAAAATGTGTATGTATATATATGTATGTATATATATATATATATATATATATATATATATATATATAGGCAAATTACAGATGTATTCTTTTTTTTTTTTAAATCTGTATGCCTTTTATTTTATTAATCTGCCTATTGTCAGTGATTTTCAATAGAAACTTTGGGAGAGGGAGGGAGATTTCCTTCTCCCCTACAAAACTGATTCCCATAAATCTGGTTTACTCTTAAATCTCAAAATGCATCATCGTAAGATGTACCTCATGGGGCCAGACAGTGGCACAGCAGTGAAACCTGATGGTTTGTAAGGTAATCCCACATGAGAATGTTCCCAGTTCAAGTCCAGAGAACTTCCTGAGTATACCAAGCATGGCTTGCTCATGATCCAGACCTGGCTGAAGGCTGAGGTCGGATCATGGCAATAAGACCCTGTGGGGAGGGACTCTCTCATTCATAGAAATAAATAAATAAACTAAAAAAAAAAATTGGGGGCTACCCCATGGTGTGATAGTTAAAGTGGCTGGATCATACACAGCTGACTGTGTGGTTCAAGTCCTGGACCTGGTGGCTTGGAAAACACACTGGGTGCATGAGTTTGCACATGGGCCCCAAATCCTGGGAGGAGAATGGAGAAGGGCTTGCAGTATGACCATCCTCCCTGAGGGTGCTTTCTAACTTTCCTTCTCTCCCTTTTTTCTGTCTCTCTCCTCTGACTGCACGTACACTACAGCAAATTGGGGGAAAAAGAAGATTAATTCGGGCAGTGCTCTTACTGTCTTTTTTCTCTTTTTTGAATTCGTTTATTTCTTCTATGAGAGAGAGAATGAAGTTGCTTTAAGCTCAAGCTCAGCCAACCCAGAGCAAAGGCACATGTGCATGTATATGCACCCAGCATGCATGTGAGCCCCAGGACTTTTCCTATGTGGGTCTAGTTGTGTTACCACTGTGCCACCATCTGGTCCCTTGTTCTCTCTTTCTAATTTTTTCGCGGCCCCACCGCGGGCCCCGCCCATGCCCCGCGCGGCCGGGCCTCTGCTCCACGTTCTGCTGCCTCCACGAGGCTGGCGTGTGGCCTCTGGGCCTGAGCATGGCCTCCAGGCCTACGTGTGGCCGCCACGCCTGCGCATGGCCCCAGGCCTGCGAGTGGCAGGCGGGGCCGCACCTGG